TACAGTACTTCAGCACTTCAACGCACTTTCTGACAAACTCGTGACTCACAGTGAGTCTGGGGCTTTCCGTGGCCATCAATTTTGCTTAGTCAAACTCTGCATTTTTCCTGTATGGCTATTTTCTTTGACTGAATTGTTTACTTAAGAACAGCTGTGAAAAAAAATGTGAGCAGCTTTTGCTCTTAAGGTTTCACCAATAATCCAAGATAGAAGAATTTTATCCTTATAACACTGTTTAGATGTACATGCAGGTAGACATGAAAAACTACTTCTCTTTGAGAAGTCTGAGTGCATTTTAAAAGAAAAATGCCTTTCTGAAAGCTGCAAATCTTTATTTGTTCAGCAATAAAACCCCCTCACTTTTGTGGTCTTTATATATAAGCATAAAAGGGCAGTGCAGAGAGGGAGTTTAATTCATACTTTTCAAGTACATTTAAAAAAAAAATCTGAAAAATTCTTTGGCAGATATGCTAATTTTTTTCTGAAGAGAAGAATTTGTACATTCTCATTGGAATCTTTGTCTTCTGAGGAAATAAAATGTCCTTGAAAGGAAAGACCAAATAGATAGACATTTTCTTAAATCACAGATTTTGTCTTGCATGTACAGTAGTTATACAATTCAATGGCAATCCAGTTTTACTGTGAGATCAAAGAACAGAAATCCGCAGCATAGCTTCTCTGTCAATAACTCTGAAGCGACGTATTGCAAACTTTCATCCTTTAGAAGTTTCATGTACATCTTAACAGAATTTCTTGAAGAGCACAGAAAAAGTATTTTTTTAAGTCAACATCAAAGCTTAGTTTTCATTGACTCCTGAGAAAGCACTTTTGCTTTCTCTACTGCAGTATTTGCAGCTCAGGCTATTTTAGTTGACGTGGAGGGCTATGAGCAGACTGATGGATGCAGCAGCTGCAAATTACAGGATCAGCTGTCTGGAAGACTGAGTGAAGTGGGCAGTTGGCAGCCAAACGGGTACAACCCCTGTAGCCTAAGAAATCCCACAGTCCACGCTACAGGATAGCTCATGAGAGGGTAACAAAATCTTTACCTTAGCACCACTATGAAACTGTTTAAAAATTAAAATGCCTAGTAGATGTTTGAGACCAGCAATGACAACGTTGTTTTGGAATTGGTGCTTTCTAAAAGTCAGGCTATAATAGTATCTGTTATGAAACTATATACTGATAAAATGGGGAAGGATTTCCATGCTTGTATTTGTAGGCAGTATGTCATTGCCATTGACTTGAAACTATGCATATTTAGAAATAGATGCCAATAGATAAATGCTGTTTTCTTATTACTTGAAAGTACATGGTTTATTTTGTCTACCTGCCACTTCTGGTAACAGTGACTGGCACTCATGACAGCATTTAGGTACTAACTTGTGATACTGCTGTTCTTTATTTGTAAATACAAAGTGTAATAATCCATTTTATCCAGGAACCTGGCCTGTGGTGACATGAAACCTCATTCTTTTGACAATGGCTACAAACTCTGCTGAAATGGAAGTCACCCACCAAAACAATGTTACATGGTTCAGGAGTGTCAACTTGTGGCTCCTAAGAATTTTTTCAAGAAATACCCAATAGACTGATATACGACTGTGTGCCACAGGTGCAGAGTCTGATGCGTCAGGGACTGCTGACCAGCTACTAGCTATCACACAAGTGGTCAGTGCATGTTCAGTAAGATTGTTGCGTTGACACTGCCCATCTTTCAGCACACAGTGAAGCCAGCCTACACTTGTCTGCCTTCAGTCTTACAGTGCCTGTGCAGGTGGACTGCACAGCGTATATGTAATACTGAACTGGACATATCGAACTTGTGCATGCACTGTAGACTTTTGTCCAGGACTTACAGATGTTGAATAGCTGGAGCTATTAATAGGGGAGTTATATCACTTCAGATCTATGCCTGATCCTGTTGCAAATTAAATCAGACCCCTTGAATGGTTCAATCAGATTTTCATCTAATAGGAAGAGAAGAAAAAAAACCCACAAACCAACAGCCCTAAAGATCATGTCATGTCAACATACTTAGCAAAGGAAAAAATCCTTTCTGTTCTCCCATGGAAGTAAAGACAAGACTACAGTGACAGTTCAGTGCTATGTGCTATGCTAATTCCGGGCCAGAAGGGAGAGGGAGCTGATGGTAAAGTCGGAAAATGGAGCTCAGAGTTTGTATGTTATGAAAAGGTACGCAGGGACTTGATTTCCTTCCTGGCTCATTCAGC